AAATCTGCTGCAAAAGACCTCTTTAAAGTGTTGAAAAACAAAGATGTCACCTTGAGGACTAAGGTGTGCCTGACCCAAGCCATGGTATTTTCAGTCGCCTCCTTTGCATGCAAAAACTGGACAGTGAATAAGGAAGACTGAAGAAGAATTGATGCCTTTGAATTATGGTGTTGGCGAAGAATAATGAATATACCATGGATTGCTAGAAGAACCAACAAATCTGTCTTGGAAGAAGTACGGCCAGAGTGCTCCTTGGAAGCAAGGATGGTGAGACTTCGTCTCACATACTTTGGATATGTTATCAGGAGGGACCAGTCCCTGGAGGAGGACATCATGCTCGGTAAACTAGAGGGTCAGTGAAAAAGAGGAAGATCCTCAGGGAGATGGGTTGACACAGTGACTGCAACAGTGGCCTCAGACATAGCGATTGTGAGGATGGTGCAGGCAAGACTAGGTAGTGTTTTGTTCTGTCGTACATAGGGTTGTTATGAGTTGGAACCAACTCGATAGCACCTAACAACAAATACCATTACTATTTCACATTTGGTACCTATCTTCAACATTTACATTTTGAAAAATAATAGTAACTAAGTTGAGTTAGAGGAGTTAGTTGAGTTCTACTGACTTTGGAAATAGAAATATAATTAAATCCAACTTCCAGGGGTGGATAGAAGGAGTGGTGTGTGAAACTCTCCTTCGTAATCATCCTTGGAAACAGGCTGTTTCACCTTTTTCCCCTTTGGAAGTTAATTTATGTTTACTTCTTGGCATACTTGACTTAAGTGACGTGCAACTACCGTGTATTAACGTATTTCATTAAAGAGAACACCCTTAGAAATTAATTTAGGGGTAAGTCCTATGAGGCAGTTTCCATTTTTCTTATTCCATAGAATGTAGCAAACATTTAAGTGTTTAATCCAAAGGATTCCAAAGAGCACCTTGCTAGGCACTGGGAATAATGGTAAGCAACACAATCCTTGCCTTCAGGGAACTCGTCCAGAACACAGGCAAGAAAAAGGTAAATGCAGTGTGTCCGGTGCTGCGTGGGCATCTCACCCAGGCTCTGGGGTTGGTAGTTCAGAACTCCAGGAGTGGTAAGAATACAGCTGAAGAGGGAGCAGGTGTCTCCAGGTCATGGTAAGGGGGTAGCATGTATGAGGCAACTGGGGAAGCTGTGAGGGGCTGGGGGTGGGATGGAGAGTCATGAGGAGCATTTCTCACTTTGCAATGTGGAGGACAGATTAGAAGGGGACAGGTGGGAGGCTTATGCAGTAGTGCAGACCAGAGGTGGTGATAGTCTGAATTACTATAGAGGCAAGTGGGCACAGGGAGAAGTGGAGGAGATTCTAAAGACATTTAGGAGGTAGAATTTACAGGGTTTGATGGGGAGGGGAGGAATGAGGGACAACACCAGACTCTGGTGTCACCAGCTGGGTGAATGATGGAATGTTCCCTGAGATGGGTGGCCCAGGAGGCAGGCCAGGTATGTGAGGGAAAGAGGAATTCAGCTGTGGGCGTGGTGGAGTTAAGGGGCCCTTGGGACACCTGCCGAAGAGATGGCTACCAGACTGAGGAGAGATGAGGGCTGGAGGTCATGATGTGGGAGTCACCCAGCTGCACGTGGGTCCTGAAACAACGGGAGCCAATGAGACCAGTTAGAGAAAGTGTAGAGAAGGGACCTAAACAGAACTGTAAGGAACACCCACATCTGGGGGCCAGGCCACAGAGGAAGAGCCTGGGGCGGGGGGGTGGGGAGGTTAGGGGGATAGAGTCAGGTGGAGTCACCAGAGCTGAGGAAGCAGAGCGTTCCCAGACAGAAGGAGGGGTTCCCAGTGACAGGCAAGGCAAAGACTGAGATACCCTTGGGATCTTGTGGCATGATTTGATGGACTGCAGAGGGCTAAGGAGTAAACCGAAGCAAGGGTTGGCAGCTGTCTGGGTAAGCTTGGCCATGAAGTGGCAAAAAGTGGTGGCGGGAGGTGCAAGGAGAATGGTTGAAAGGGGTCAGGCTGAAGAGGAAAGGAGGAGGCTGAGAGGGAGGAAGTTGGGTCTCAGCAACATCAAAGAAGAGAGGTGGTGGGCTGAGAACTGAGGGAGAAGAAAAGAGTGGGATCCTTGAATTTAAGATTTCTTGGAGGAGCTGTTGTGGATGATGGTAAGGGCTAGGCCATAGGAATGAATGGGCAAAGGGACAGAACTGGCATGCCCAGAGGACTGGATGCACTGTCCACATCGACTGTGGGGCCTCCAGGATGATAAGGCCTGGGGTAGAGAGGAAAGCAGGGCCCACAGTCTTCACTGAATCAGGGAGCGGACACTGATGAAGATGCTAGAAGGTGACTGACCCTTGAGATGTGCCTCAAAAAATCGTTCTTTTTCCATTGTGGGGTAGCTGAGGCCCTGGAGAGGGAGTGACTTGCCAAGGTCAGCCAATTAGGGAAGTAGCCCAAACTGTGGCCCAGACCTCCACTACCTGTGCACCTGAGGGGCACCCTCCAACTACTAGATTTGTGATTGTCCCATCTCTCTCTTTTCAACATGGTGTTGCCACCCTCCGCCATCTTATAGGGAAAAAAATACCATGTTCCGTGTTTGGCTAGGAAACTGGCTCTGAAAAGCACTATTAATTGTGACTCATGTTTTGCTTCTGTCCAGGCGTGCTGGATAAATTTACTTGAGGGTAGAGGCGTTGCTAACTGGCATAGGAAACCTGAAGGATGTGCAAAGCCCTGCTTAAAGGGTGAGAACAAGCAAATGACTGTTGCTGAAGGAATTCTCATCTATGCTGCAACTACTGTAGTTTACAAAGTGTATTCTTCCTGTTTTCTAGTTCCTTTTACAAAGCGCTTGAGGTTTGAAAGCCACAGTATGATTGTGTTTTGAAAATGTGGCCACTGACCGGCAAGTGGAAAATTCACATGATCCTTTTCTGTAGCCATCTTTGGCGGTGTGGGGTAGGGGGGGCAGTAATCAGACCCAAGGGTTTTCCTGTGCCCTTTGTCTATGAGCCTAACAAACATGCTGGTTAAGTCAGTAGCAGGAGGGGAAAACTGGCTTAGTTTTCAAGTGTCCCCTGGATTAATGCTATCATACTGGCCCTCAGCAATGGCCTCTAAAATGCAGTTTGAGGTATAAGTGGATTTGGCCTGGCATCTGTAACATCTACTCTCCGACTGTCAGAAAGCCTGGACTGACACGAGTGGAATTTTTCTTTCCTTTAGCTAAATGTGTCACGGTCTAATGCTCTTGTGACAGATGGAAAAATCTGATGTAGGGCACGAAGCCTATCAAGCATGGAGGAAGGACTCCAAGGGGCCGCCTGGCACCGATGCACTGCAGTGAACCCATCTCGCCTCTGAGTGAATTATTTATGTGCACTTCCTGAAAAGAACATTCCTGTAGTAATATGTCAGTCCTAAAACCGGAGAGAGTTCATGGTTAAGGGTGAGCCGTTCCCCGCAGTAGCGAAATGGAAAGGAGGACGCGGGAACACCTTCTCAGGTGCTTCCCGTCCTAGGTCAGCTATGAGATGCCCCTGCACACCTGTCTTGCAGGCCTAGTGAGAGGGGCGTGCGGTCTGGGCGTCTACCCACCAGCTCTGGTGCGCGTTCGTCGTAGTGCTTCATACACCACAGTAAATTCGGCGTGGCCATTAGGCCCTTCCCAAACTGAGCCTCACCTCCTACCCCTTTTACCCACACTAGCTACCTCACACCCGCCCGCTCTGCAGTCTGATAACGGAATACCTATTCCCACTCCCTGCGGGGTGCGCCCTTTTGCCCATTCCCTGCCCCTCCACCCGGCCAGTGACCGAGCCTGGGCATCCCCAAGGCGCACGCCTGGAATCCCGTGGCTCCCATTCTCTGCTCAGACCCACACCCCTCGAGCCGAGCAGGGATACCAGGCCTGTACTTGCTGGTCAGACCCAGGGGTCAGAGAAAGCTCAGCCGCATGGTTCCGTCCCCCGGGACCTGGGCCCAGGGGCCCGGTGCGGCTAGGGGCGCAGGGGAGTAAGTCGTCCCGTTTTCTGGCGCAGCCTCGCCGCCACCGCCCTTCACCGTTAAGACTGGCGGCGCCCGGCTGGAAAGGTCTTCGGTCGCGGGGACAGCAGAGATGCGTATGGTCCGCTGTCCTTCCCTGCCCCGCCGGGGCGTCCCCGGGCGTCCAAGAGCGGCTGCGGGGTGAGTCCCGGCCGGAGGGATGTCCACGCGGCGGGTACCCTGGGCTCCCGGAGGAACCGCCACCAGCCCAGCCGCTTAGGCCGGCCCGGTCACGTGGCCCGCGAGCGCCCCCGCCGGGCCGGTAGTGTGACGGCTGTGCGCGGTTGCCTTGGCAGCGGCTGCGGCGGCCGGCGGGGC